ACATGCTAGGGGTTCAAGCCATTCCAAATTTTTTGTGGATATGCTACTCTTCTTTACCAGATTAAGATCTTGAAGGAAGGCTCTTGGTATCATTCATTGTTAAAAAATCTTTTTCTACCCAGAATAACAGGCATTCAGTAGCATGTGCTGAATGAAGGAACTGCATTTAAATCTAATTTGTCTGGATATAATTATCACAGACTGAAACTGTCCAATCACAATGAACAGATCTTAGTTCTTGACCCAAGAGACAAGGAGGACTCAGAGAAAAGCAGGGATTTGCCTACGGCTGCAAATGCTGGATGTCAGAGGCAGTGCAAAGGGTCCGCCTACATCCCACACTTGCATTTACCCCATGAAGACTATTTGCTTAGCAGTTCTGTGGCAGGCTGTCTCAAGTTTGCTCCTCTGAAATCCCTGCCATGGAGTTCACGGTGGGGTCTGACTATCATGCATCATTTCCCATTTCTTCAGAGCCCACAGTTTGCTCCGACCTCAGAGGTGAGCCAGTCCTTGAATGTCCCAGTTTTGTTGTTCTGTGGATAAGGATTCCTAGAGAAATCCTTCCTCCCTCCCTAGAGAGCCAGGTCTCCATCTGCCTGTCTCTGGCCTAATGTAGGGAACAGGATACATTTTATTTTTAAATCGTTTCTTAAACATATCCTCCGGTTAATATTATGTCCTTTATTTTGGAGAGGACACACCTTCTCCTTGAGTAACCTCTGGGATTCTGGCAAACAAACCCCTTGGGAAACCTGACATCTTCAGTCACCTGCTATTTGTAGCTCTTCTTCCCTGTCTCTTCTTTGCTGATGTTTGTTTTTAAGATACTCACCATCTGCATATGCACTGAGGTCGACTGAATCTTAATGAGCCTGTCATGATCCTGTTTTCTTTTTTTTCTTTTAAAGCCCTGCAGACAGCTGAATGCTGGGTGAATGACAGCTTCTTGCACATAGGAGATGACGAATGGACAGAATGGTCTGGAACGAACCCATCTCTGTGCAAGGATGTGGGAGTTGCCCTTTAATTCCAATTGAGTGGTTATGGTAAAGGCCCTGTGCCAGGGTCTGCCTGGTCATCTGCAGCTGCTGTAGTTTTCTAGCTCTGTGAAGATGGAACTAAGTTATAAATGGCTCCCGAAAGAAGGGAGGGAGGGCATGGAGATGGTGGGCAGATCTTCCCGAATTTTTTAGGGCTCTGTGGGCTTTGTGCAAGCAGATTAGGAAGGAAAGTCAAACAGAGGAAGGGGAAGCCAGCTGGCTCTCTGAAAGGGAAGTCTACCTTACAAAGTAATTCTTGGAATTAACAAAGATTATGCATGGTAAGGTGCCTGGTCTGACACCTGGTGAATGCGGCTGACCTTGACAAATGGGGCAGAATCTAAATTTCTTGAATGCAGTTACTTCAGCCAACTAGCTTTGAATGCGCTCAGGTTCACCGGGCCCCTGTGGCTGCCCCACCACAGTGGAGCCCCCCGGCGGCTCTGCAATGGCAGCCTCACTCTCCGGGAACAGGTGAGAAGCCCAAGGCTCAGAGCTTGGGTGGCTTTCCACGGGGAGCAAAGCTGAAAGGCGACAAAGTCAGGTCTTGAAGGCAGATCCTCCAAAGGAAGCATCTCCTGCATTTTCTTGAGAATTTCAAAGTAGAACACGGGAAGCTGAGATATAAAGTCATCATTTTTTTTTTCTAAAATAATATGAAAAGATAAACTTCGCCAGACAGGGGAGAAGGAGGATAGAAACTGCCAGGCAGCTGCCTTATGTTTCTGGGGAAAGCAAAACACTTCTTGGTTTTCTTCGAACTGGGGACTTTGGAGATTTTAGCAAACCTCATATACGCAGTATTTTTCAAGCAGGTGGATTCCATTCCCTGATAGAATAAGCGGCAGAAAAAGGCAAGAGTACACAGACTAGGATGTTGCGCCAGACACCAGCTTAGGCCTGTCAAACAAGTTCCCTCGTTAATCCTCACACGCTAGGTGCTATGATTATCCTGTTCTCTGAGGGAAGGACCGAAGGTTCAAGTTGGTGTATAGACTTGGCCAGCCTCACAGAGAATAAATGGCTGACATGCGATTCTAACTCGGATCTGCCTGAGTTTGCCGACGCCAAGCAGAAGACTCAATCAGGCTTTGCTGGAAGTACCCCTTTTGGAAGCTTGAGATGTGCTTAAGATTCAGGGTGACCGGTTCCCTCCTAGCGGAATCCTCAATTTCCATGGGAACCTAAATGCTTGGATGACTCATCCACTGATGGGTGGTACCATCTTAGTCTTAAAACAACAAATCGGCATCAGGAAAGCCAATGCATTTGGATGGTGCATAAATCCTTCTGGAATGATCACTCGGTGTCACCGGCTTATTTAAATGGACACATCACTTCTAACAGGGCTCTCTCCTGTCTGCTCTGCCTTTTTAGTTGCAGCAAGAAGGGAAGTAACTCACTGCCTTGGTAAATCAAACAGGAGCTGGAGGTGGTTTAGACACAAGGATATCTCCTGACCTCACATTCCGAGGCAAACTGGGGGGGTGGGGGGCGGGAGGGAATCAATCATTTTTGTCATAATAAATTCCCCAGTGTGTGACATTTTTCTTCTCCCTGCAAACCTGGATTGATGACCAGTGCTTTTTTTTTACACAGATAACCATGTTCCCAATGCTGTGACCTCAAGACATTGCTGTGTATCTCTGGGTGACACTATTATTCTGTGTTGTGGAAGACAGAAACTAAATACACGCAGGGGTTACCTGAGATTTCCAGTCTTCCCCACAACCAGTACAGGCTTTACGGAAGCCAGAAGTGCATGTGCTGGGATCCAGGGACAGATCAACACGGGGTGATCTGCTTATCAAAGGCAAGCCTGGGGAGCCCTTGCATTGGCCCACTGTGGGTTCCTAAAGGGCCCCGCCTCAAATGCACCATGAAAACAGCCTTTGGGGAGTCTAGCTTAGAAAGGAAAAGGGGGCCACCTTTCAGAGAAGACCCTCGGAACTTCTGCTCCAGAAACATCCTGGAGGATTCATATAGGGCAGAATCCTGGGCCTCTCTGCAGACCCTTCAAGGGCAGAGTCCAGGATTCTACATTTCAAGAAAGTATTCTTGATCTTGAAGCCACAGAAGTTCAAGCTGGGAAGGTGAGTAGTTAACTCAGCTGCCTTCTCAGGTATCAGACTACAGCCTTAAACTCTCTAAGCTTGAGTTTGCTGTGCGTGAAATAGGGATAGGGGAGAGCACATGCCTCATGGGGTTCATGTGAAGATCAAATGAGGTGACACCTAGAAAGCTTCTGGCACAGCACCTGGCCAGTCCTTGGGTGGTATGCGGAGGTGCACCTCACCCATCCTTAGGACACTTCCAGCCCAGCTTATAGAGAGCTGCTGCTCTGAGTCTCCTACCTGGCCCTTCTCAGGGCCTCCTTAGACTTCCCCACATCACAGCCACTGCAGGGTTAATGTTAGTACGGCAGGGGAGCCCCCGGTTGTATACAGGGCTGGTGGTTGAAGTTCTTAGACATCAACCTTTGCAGGCTGTAAACCTTACATAGAGTGAGACATGCCTCGATAAGCTGGAAATGTCAGCTAAGGAATGTCCCCCATCTCAAAAGATGGCCTTTGGTACAGGGCTCCCTAACTGCCCCCTCTGGCCGCTCAGGTCACTGACTCCAGACCTTTCCTTTCTTATTCTCCTCCAGCTATGACTCCCCCTCTGAAAGCTTGACTCGCATCCTCTTTCCCTTGGCCTCTGAGGGAACCTGTTTGCATCTGACCTCTCTGGAATTTGACCTTTAGCTACCAGAATCGACTTTCTTTTGGTTCTTCCCACTACAGCCTGGTCTTCGCCTCTAGGACAGGCTTTCCCGAGCACCTGCAGGGGGCGCCATCCCCAGACACCCACACAACCTGGCATAGCTAGTCTCAGATGTCCTTTTTGGCCTGACCAAACCTACTGCTCCCTGAGCTCCAAGTTCTAGTCCTGACAGATCACGGGTCTACATCCTTTGAGAACAGGGTGCCGAAGCAGGGGTAAGAAGGAGGAGAAAAAGGGCAGAAGGATCAGAGGCATTTCACAGACAGACATTGGCAGGACCTGAGCTTAAGGACAGAGAGGTGGCGCTAGTTTCTTGTTTATACGCTCCATGAGGTCATGGGCTGTGTCTGGACCACCTGGCATAGGGCCTAGCACACAGTAAGCACTCAACAGACAGCGGATGAACAAAGAATGAATGAATGAATAATACTACTACTAACAGAGACAGAAAGAGAAAAGGAGATACAAGTTTGGGGAAAGCAACAAGGTTTGAATAATAGATGTGATTATAGACACATGGCATTTGAAGGATTGTGTACTCCTAAGTACCAGTCACCAAGTATTTCTGCCTTTTCTCCTTCTGGGCACATGGAGGAGGCACACTGAACCACACCCTTTGAAGGTAGGCATGGCCCCATGACATGCGTCAGCCGGTTAAGTATTAGCAGAAATGACGTCTCTTCTGACAACTTTCAGAATCAATATGATATCTTCTGCTTTCCCCTCATACAAGGAAGTATGAAGTCAGATAAATCCTAATTGCATTCCATGAGCACAGACCCCAGGAGATCTACCACGGGCATGGGCAATGAGGAAAATAAATGTCTGTTAAGCAAGGGAAATGCTAGAGTTCTTTGTAGCTGCAGAATGATTTCCAGGCTATATTAATGGAGCCAAGGAACCTACAGGTCCTACTCAAATAGATGCCCCAACAGGATCTAGGTCTGATGATCAGAAGAAGGGCTTTTTGGTGCGGTTGCCATAGACTGCCAATGTCTGAAAGGTACTGTGTCTGTAGCTTCCGCCCTGAGAAAGAACTAGAAGGTCAACTGCCTAGGTACTGTCCACTGGAGAATTCAGTAACCAGGTAGCCACCTGTGCTTTGGCTGGTCCCCTCCCATGGGAAGGGCACAGAGTCCTCACACTGCCCTTTGTAAACCCCTCCCCATGCCGACCATCCCTGTGACTTACCTGTGTTGTAGCCCCTGCCAAGGGCAGGCCAAGGGCGGTGATTTTTCCACAGGTTTCCAAGGTACCAGTCACTCTGGTTCTCGACCAAGCCCAGGACCTGCTGACCTGTAAAGTACAGAGTGCAATGGTCTTAAAGGAAGCCCAGCCATGCAGAACGGTGAGTACCAAACAGGAGACACAGTGACGCCAAGTCACTGCCACAGCAGCCTTCCTTACTGGGAGTTCCAGGCCCTGATCTAAGTACTCAACTTGTATTAACATATTTAATTCTCGAACTTAGGCAGCTTAGCCATTTCTGTCATTCCCATTTTATAGAGAAGAAATGGTAGCTACCCAGAGTAGTTAATGAACTTGCCCAAGGTCACCCAGTTAATTTGTGATAAAGGCAGAATCCCAAACCAGTTAACCAACCCACCAACCATCCATTCATCCTTCCATCCCTTAAACTCACGTAACAAGCACTTACGTACTGACATACTACTCTTGGCATGTTCCAGTTCTAATATTCCCCATTGTGATTTAATCTACTGGCTTTCTGGGTGTGAGTAGAAGAGGAAATGACCCTCGGCCAATGAGATGGGAGCCTACAGAGAGGACCACCTTTGGGCCAACTTCTCATTGTGCTTTTACTCTCACATCTACTTTATTTTGTGGCAACCAGCATCATTATCAGTGCAGGAGTGTTTTCTAGAGGAACAATTGCTTCTCTGTCCCCATAGCTCAGCTTTGATATTGGCCTCAGTTTTTGGTGTACTGGGACCAAATCAAAGGTGAGTCCTGTCTCAGTCTATTTCTCAACATTTTAGGTGAGTCAGTCTCTCATTTCAATTGCTTAGATCATTAATGTTCCTGGGGTTCAGGTAACAGTAAATGTCCAGGCATCAGATCCAACTACCTTCCATCAACAACCCTATTACACTCCCTGCAGAAGATACTCTCTTTGGAATTACTATCAACACAGTTTTACAGACGAGGAAACGGAAGCTCACAAAGGACCATGATTTGCACAACTAGAGATGGAGCCGACATACACTTCAATATTTGTCGGATGCCCACGTTCCTTCCACCACCTCAGTGCATTACTGCTTACCTTTACAACAGACATTTGAGGTAGGAATTATAAATCCATATTTTACAGGAAAAGAAACAGAGGCTCAGAACATTTAAGTAACTTGCTAAAGGTTATTCAACTAATAATCACTGGCTTCCGCAGCAAACCGATGCCTTCTGGAGCTAAAATCCTTAAACTGTTGGCCAATCTGAGAAATAAAGACCTTCCTGACTAAATGAAAGCCCAGCGGCATGTTAAAAAACCGCAGCGGTTCTCCTGGAACACCATGCTGGGTGATATAGAACCTCCTTGGTGCGATGACAGCTCCCTGAAATGATGCTGTGTGGGTTTCATGTAATTTATTTGATCAATTTATCGAGCTCCTATCTAAATCATCACCCCAGCACGAATACATACATTAGAGGCATGGGAAAAATACTGCCATGCGCTTTGTTATTGTATATGATCGTGTCCCAAACGTGTAGAATCCCTCAGAAAAACGTATCACCAATTCAGGAAGTGCAAGAGCCAATCAATTCCACACACAACAAGCATGGGAAGTTTGTACAAAACAATTAGACCGGAAAGGGGGTGCCCTCAGTTGAAAAAGCTGTGTGCTAAGCCCTGATGCTGTGGCTGCAGTGTGTGTGTGTCGGGGGGTGGGGTGTGGTGGGTGTGAGGGGCACCCATTTAATAAGCTCATGCTGAAAGGATGTGGGGTCTCTGGGAGAATTCATAACTACAAATGACTCCACGTTGGAGCCACAGTAGTATTGTTTGGTACCATGAAGGGTGTCACGTGCTCAGAACAGACAAAAAGGGGATGATCTTTCACCAGCTTTAGGGTGACTATCTGAATTCCAGGTAGAGTAATCTTCAGCTTTCCGAAATTCCAGAGTCTATATTCTGGCATCCCATGCATCGTATTCTGCCTCAACCTATTTCTTCAGATGAATCCAGGCACAAACACACTTTGTTTGTAAATATTGGCCTCTACACTAGCCCAGGGGCAATGACTGCAGGAGTATCTAACATACTAGGAGGAGCTCATAAACGTCTGCCAAGTAAGCAGTGCCCGGTGGCTAAACCTCTCCTGACTGGGACACCAGTAATGTTAGCGTATGAGGGTCCCCACATTTTCGAAGCTGCAAAGCGTTTTGCCCTCTGCCCATTCCCAACATCAACACATTGTCCAACTCAGCCTGGGAACTCTGGCATCTTCCTCACCAGCATGGAAACCACAAAGATGGGGCGGTATCACCTACAGCATCTTTTGTATCAGCTGCTCTACTGAAGCCTTGAACTCAAGGTCTTAATCTCCAGGGAAGTAGTATTGTGCCTGGTTAATCTTAAATCATGTTAATCCAAGAAGAATAACATCCATATTTCCCTTCTCTCAATTTGCACCTGGCCTGCATTTCTTAGGAAGGTGGCATACAACCCTTTCAAACATGCCAGTGCTCTTTAAGGTGAAAAACAAAAATCCTTAATTAGCAACATGATAGCTGTAATGTTAATATCTATTGGTTGAGAAAAAGCAAAATGATAAACAGCTACTAAGACATCATCTTGCTCTTTTAGATGGATTCATTAGCTGCTCTGATGACTAAAACGGTAGCTGGGTTTTGCAGGCCTGCTTGTTAATGCCCTGCTCTGCGCATCCCACCCTGAGGGGTCTGCATCCATGGACAGGGAACCAGGAGCAGCGGTGTCCCCAGAGGTGAAGAGTGCAGACTGGAATCAGATTGCTTGGTTCCCCATTCCTGGCCCTGCCACTTTCCAGCTGTGTTAGCTTTGAGAAAATTACCTAACCTCTCTCATCTAACTCTTACGGCTGGAACATATCTCTACGTAAGAGATAAGCTATTTTTAAATATCATCGTCCAAGCTTACATGGGAGCTTCTGAAAGAGGGCGAGCCCATCCAAGTGGTTTTCTTTGGAGGTCATCTGGCACAACAGTTAAGTCCTTCTAGAACTTGGTTTCTTAAACGCGCTGCAGAAACTCCTGGGGTTCTTGTTACACTGCAGATTCTCGGGCTTCAACCCAGAAGTTAATTGTGGCCAGGAAGCTGCTGCTTCCTATCTCTCTGGTTCTAGAAGGAGGGATTTCCTGGCTTCTTGCCCCAACTGTTTCTCTCCCCAGTGGACATGGGAGGAGCTGTGGCTGACAGTTTCAGAGAGAACCAAGTCTGTGTTCCTGCAGCTTAGCCCCCTCCATCCCTCCTCCCAGGAGCCAGTGGAAAGACAGAGAGCCCACCTTCCACCTGTCCCTGGCCGCTGCCAGTTTTATAAGCAGGCCTCCCTCTCGCACTCCCTGTGACCAGGCGATTCCAACTGTGGATGAGGAATATCCACTGTAGATGCACCTCCAAGCCAAGTTCTTATCCATAAAATAAGGTGAGATAGTGTTCATTCCTTTCCCTTCTAAAGGGGCTCCATGTGGGGGCAATATCACACTCATTACCTCAGACCTCAACCCTTCTAAGTAAGAATTCTGGCCCCCGAGTCAACTGCATTTTTTAAAAAACAGGCGGTTTGGATGCACATTAAAGTTTGACAACTACTCATCAGACTCCAGAACCTCTGCCCCTGCTTCAGTCAGGGGTGAGGCAAGCTCACACGGCATTTAAACCAGTTCACATGGCTCATAAACCAGTGGAACTCAGTGCCACACTTCTTGAGTACAGTGAGGTAGTGAAGGAAATGAATGGCAGAGCCAGAGTGTCAGGGTTCAAATCCTGGCTCCTCCACTTATCAGCGGTGTGACCTTGGGCAAGTTACTTAACCTCGCCATGCCTGTTTCTTCATTCAGTTATAAAGTAGAACTAATAAATAGTACATACCTTAGAATTGATTTTCTTTTTTAAGCCTAAGTTATCTGTGAAAATCTAGTTGTATTCTTTGCTTATCCAAACATTACTACTAACAGTACCTGTAAAATAGTAAAATGCTCAGTGAGTGTTTGCTCTCAGCATTACAGCCAGAATTCCCTGGCCCTGCATTCTGTCTCCTTTGCCTGGGTTCAGGCATCTGCTTTCTCAGCCATCTCCTCTCTTCCTCAGCCAGCAGGATCCTTACTCCATCTATTGGCTCTGTTTAGTTATCGACTGAGGGCTGCTTTGTGTCAAGATACCACACAAAATACTATGGAATTAAAGACAAAAGTCCTTACCCTAGATGAAGCTAGAAGAGACAGATAAACAATTATGAAGGAGTGTGGCCCATGCGGTGACAGACACACGGGTGAGCTGGAGGAATGGAGGGAGGGAGTGACTGATTCCGTGGGAGAATGTGGATGGTGCTCCCATGGTGTTCCCCCCAGAGCCACCCACTACACCCTCTCCTGCAGTTTAGGCCACACCTGCCCCTTCCACACACACCTCCGAACTCCTGTGCCTCCCCCAAAGCCTTCTGAAAATAGTGCTATCTCCTACACCCTTCTAGGCAGAGTCTCTTCTGCTCCCTGGTGGTGGCACATATAAGCTGGTGACAGCTCACAGGGGGCAGGCCGTCTCTTACAGCTTTGCCGGTCCCAGCTCACCAGCCAGGTGGCATCTACACCCTGGTCCCCAGAGGTCAAAGTCTAAAGCTGTAACCTTGATGTTGCAAACACATCCCGGCCTGCCATCCCATGAGGAAGCAGAATCCCAGGGCCTTCCTCTGGTGGTGAAGACACGGGTGGCCGGCACGCTGCCTCCCCCAGCACTTGCCACCGGCCGTCCAGTCTTCTTAGGAGTTATGACAGTAAAACACCGTGACTAATAGAAAAGGCTTTGTCATTGTTTTCTGCGCTGGCCCTGTGGTTATGATGAAGTGCCCTGCTCCCCGTCTCCTTACTCTCGGCACAAGCTAACTTATGAAAATGAAGCTGTCTTCTTTGCTTATTCATACATCACTGCTAACAGCCAGACAAGAGTGAACAAGCTTGCTATTCTGCTGGGGCCCTGGTGCCGGTGTCACCAGCCAGCAGACGGATGGCTCCAGGCGGGGAACTCCCCTGCTCCCGCCTTTGGCAGCTTTTGGCTCCATGCAGGGCTCCTGCTGCCCAGGAGGGAGGCCCCCGGAGCAGGTTATGACCAGGTTTCCCCATGGCACATGGGGCACAGCAATGGCAGGCTGGGCATCTGCCCTCTCGATATGAGGGCAGGCAGCGTGGTGAGTCAGAAAGACAGAGGGTTTTAATCCAGACAAAAAAGGGTTCTAGCCCCAGTTCTGTATGCTTTGGCCAAGGTGTGACTTCTCTGAGCCTCAGGGTCCTTATTGTACAAGAGCAAGAACACAATCTACCTCCTGTCCCCAAGAACAGACGTGCAGATGGAAGAATATATGTCAAGCGCCTGCCTCATGGTAGATGCTGGAGGAAATGCATCTCTTGTTTGTTAGGGATGGTCATTGTCCGTGATGTCTAAGTTTTCCTATTCAAGTACTGACACTCGCTGCACAAGCTGGATGCTGCAAAATTTGGACCTACTGCCCCACCCTTGTCCAGCTGGCCCTTGTCTGTCCCCACCCCAATGCACTTTACTGAGGCCTTTAGCTTCTGTGACGAGAGTGTCTCGGCTGTTCTCCTCCCCCTAACATTCTCTCCCTGCCTCCTTCACAGGGCTCCTCTCCCCCAGCCCCTCCTTCAATGCTGGTGTCCCCCAACTCCCGTCCTTTTCTTCTCGCTCTACATTTTATCCCTGGCTGATGAACTGTACTCCCGTGGCTTCAAGTGCCACTGACAGGAAGATACTCACCTGCCTCCATCCCAGCTCAGGACACTTTCCAGAGCTTCTTACTCTGAAATCCAACTATCTGCTCACCATCTTCATTTGGCAGTTACACAGCAACCGTCTATGCACATCAACCAAAACTAAATCCACAATCTTCCCCTAAAGAATGATGTGGCTCTTGCCTATTTGGTTAGTTGGTAGCATCAAAATCTAACTTGTCATTGAAGCTAGAAACCTTGAATCAACCTCGACGCCTCCTTCTCCTCGTCCCTCCCATCCTTGCTGTAACCAAATCCATAGCCAGATTTTTATCTACCATTTCTCAAACTCATCCCCTCCCAGGCTCTGCTATGCCCTCCTTACCTAGGTTACCACATCTCTTCCCAGGCACCCCTCAGCAGATTCATACCTGATCGCCTTTCCTTCAGGGGAGCCCCTTGCTATTCCATTCTCCTTACCCAGCCATAGAAATATTTTGAAAGTGCAAATTTGATGAATTTGCTTCCCTGATTAGAAAGTTTAATGCTCCAGGGCCCAATATAGTACAGAGGGATGGATAAACGAATGAAAAATAAGTATGACCTGTAACTCACCATCCCAGCCCATCTGGAATGGGTAAAGTCTATCTGAATGGCGAGGAAGTGGACACGTACTCATTAGCCTCTCCAGGTAAACACCAGGGGCAGGAAGCTCCAGCTCTGATCACAGATCCTTCCACTACTGTCTCCTTCTCCCCACCTCCAGAAAAGCTCCTGGGTGCACAGAGGGTGTTTGCCAATCACAGCTGAGTATCAAACCAGCTGTGCTTATTATGCCAGCAGGTGAATATTAAAATGTTATAACCAGGAGCTGTCCTGAGTATCAGCAGAGAGAGCAACAATGCCTTCCCAACCTCATATTTATTCTAATAAGGTATTTTAAACTAGAAAAGCTTATAAAAGTACCATGCAATACGTGCCTGAGTGCAGGATGTCTATAATAAGGAAAACAGACAGCATTAAACTATCATTTACTAAACACCCTGAAAGAACTGATCTACAGCCCTAGGTGCCCCTGGCTAGTGGGTGGAGAATAATAAAGCATCTCCTGATAAGCAGCAACACAAAAGGTATTTAAACCGCCCTGAAGGGGTTGAAAAGGCCTGCTCCTGAGCTTGCACGTTTCACAGCGCCTGCTTCCTCCGTTCAGCTCTGGCTAAGTGCACCCTGGGATCACAGAAATTCACATGAGCTGCGAAGATCACAGTAATTACTGGGGAACTGCCTACTTTTACAGATGGAGCCCAGAGAAGGGGAGTGAAGAGCTTATAAACACACCGACAAGGCAAAAGCTAGGACTCCACGGTGACCCTGTGCTTGGCGTGTTTTCTGTGAATCAGCTTCTCCAACTTGACCTCTTTTTTCACACTTGACCTTGAAACTTAACATAATTCTCACATGGTTCAGATTTGAGCTCTTCTACACTAGAATGGTAACCCCGGGTAAATTCTTAGCTCCTAGGTTTTCTTCTCTGTAAAATGGCAAAGTTATCTATTCCATGAGGCTTTACTGGGGACTCGTGACAGGCTCTGGGTCCCAATTTTACGTTGCGTGTCCTTGAGCTGGACTCCAGGTGCCCCAGTTAAAAAAGTCCTTTCATGAATCACTTTTTTTTTCCTTTAATGAAGTGCCCTCACATCCTGCTCCCATTTATTCATTCATTGTTCAGCCAACCCTGATTTCATTTGGAGGTAAACACCCCTCTCCCTTATGGACCTCTTATAGCTGAGGGGTAAACACTTTGTAAGAGGAATTAGAATCTTTGTCACTCTACAAGGTAGAATTAGGCTGAATGCATGAAGACTAAAGGAAGACAGATTTTGCTTATTATAAGCAAGACCGTAAGTAACCATTAGAGTTCAGCAAAATGGACACCAAGCACTGGAAGGTTCTGGAAGAGGCTGCAAGATTCGGCCCTTGTCTTGCCGTCTCACTGAGTCCCTGCCAGGCACTGGGCTTGGTGCCAACTGCTGAAACCAGGAGTGAAGCAAATGGACTCAGTCCTGTCTTCTGGGTCTTAGGATCTTTACAAAGAACTTAACCAAATGGTTTTGGCAGGGACCATCCTAGAGAGACATGACCGCCTGTTGACTGTAAGCTAGATCCCAGCAATTGGAGGCTCCCCTACCCTTGGAATGTTCTTCTGCTTGTCTTCCCACTCCCAGAAGCTGCCCTGAGGACCCAGCCTTGAGAC